AGGTTTGACGAATGGCTGTCACAGCCACTAACGAAGCAATAAAGTTGAGGTAAGGTTAGATTTACAAAATAAAAACGCACAAAAAACGAGGAATTGGTAGTTGTGGTGATTCCCGTGGCATGCTGTAATGTTAGGGTATTCGGTTCATTGTAGTTTGATGTAAAAGACTTGGAGCCACTGCTCGCTGCCTCCCTTTGCCCCTTCCTTTCTGCTCTTACTAGCGTCGCAGCAGTTTCTGTGTGCCATGGACCCTGATTTAATTCAAATAGAGTGAACCGGGGAGGGGAAACTGCGTGGTCTAACCTCTAACGAGTGACCGAAAAAATGGGCCCAATCATGACGGGTAGGGGCTATTTTGTGACCTTTTTTCAGTATTATATTTATTTAGTTTTTAAAAACGAACAGGACTACTCGAGAAATAAAGCATATTGACGGAAAAGAGAGGCTCCATATAATTGCGCGTCTGAACCCGCCCTTCTACTTCCTTCCAAGTCGAGATCGGTTTAATATGTTACATAATGTGAGGCCTTCGTATCTTTTGCAGTGTAGCCTTTATTCATATAACTACGTATTCACATTAGTAAACAGGTGATCTTGCTTAAGATTATTTGAAAAAACAAAACTCTTTCAGATGAGGGATCTACAGAGTGTAGGCATCCCTTTCCATTTTTCTTGAAATGCATTTTTTTTCTAAGGCCATGGCTTACTAATAGCATTTTCCCTGGATTTTTATTTTGTCACACATATTCTGCAGCAGTAAGTAATTGTTTTAGGTTTGCATGACTTTGAATGAAAATGTAACTAAATGGTTGGAAACAACAAAGTTGTCTTCTGTGGAATTACATATTACACCCATAGTATGATAATTATTGTAGAAGTGGGGCAACATTTTTAAATGATTATTAATTTATTTATTTTTATAGTGAAACTTCTAAACCAAGATTTTGTATATTTTTAAGGGTAATTGGGTTGTGGAAATGAGGGAAAGCCCTTTCAAAGAGACATCAGAGCAAAGAAGTGAAGGAGGAGAAAATTACTGTACAGCATCATCTGGTGTGTCAGGCTTACAAGAATAGTAGAATTTGTGGGATTATGAAACTCTTTGAATAGTATGATGACTTAAAATGTGACCGGCATGTGATCACCAGTGTTGGGAATAATGCAGTACCACGTAGTGTACGAAAAACTGGAACTCTATATTTAAACCAAGTTCCCATTTCATTCTACTGTAACTGCCAGTTTGGAATTACAGGTTTTAAAAATGTTTCATTGATAATTAAACCATATGTTACTCCTACAGTGTCAAAAAGGCTAATTGGGTCACTACACTTGAGCAGAATTAAAGAATGGGTGTAAAGTAGAGCTTGGACAATGTAGGCATTTAGACACCTAATTGTAAATATTTAATGGGATTCTTAACATTTGTCTATCTGCTTATTTCGTACTAAAAGTTGAAACTGTCAGCCTGTTGAACCATCGTGGTGTCAGTTTAGCCAGAGAGGCAGTAAGTTTTTAAGCTATGTAGTCAAATGTTTGTAATACTTTAGGTGGATGAGGGTATTGCTGAGTACTTGGTTGTTAAAGTGTAATTATAAAACAAAGTCACACTGAAAATGTTTTGTTTCAAAAATCGAAAAGTGATAGTGATTATAAATGACACTTTGTTTCAGTGTAGATTATTATGAAGTGTTTACAATATCTAATTTTGTCTAGTTTAGTTGAAGTGGGCTTTAATGTTACTATATTAGCTGCAGCATGAGTAGTTATTTGTGATATTAGTATTGAAGGGGGAAAGTGAGAAATTGCACCTCTAATGTCTAGAAGAGAGCGGGCAGCACCTTGTCAAAGTGAAATTTTATGATCAAAATATAGTATCAAAGTAATATTTGGACTCTTGCTTGCTGGTAAATAGGTTTTAAAATGTTTCTAATGTGCTCATATAGGTAAAGTGGGTGTAAATATTTACCTCATTCTTTTTCATTTTAGAGTTACAATGCAGCATTATTCTACCACCCCTCACAATCCCTTAAAAAATATTAATGCAGTGCCTTCAGTTGATCTCTATTAAAAGCTACAGGTTTACGTTTCCTCTCAGTTCTGTGGTATTTGCCTTTTCACACTCTTTGCAGAGCACCGATGTGCTGTTTCAGACATTCTGTGACTCATCATTCTTCAGACCCCTCTGGCAAAATAGGCTCCCACCCCCCATTTCCTGATAAACTGTGACTCTCTACTTGTACTTGCTCACATGTGCTGTAGCCAGACTGCAGAGAACCCCCACCCTTCTCTCTCTCTCTCTTTTTTTTTTTATTTTATTTTTTTTTCTTGCAGTGCAAAGTTGATAGTATTCAAATTTGCTGTGATAGGGACAGCTTTGGATCTTCCTTTTTTCTTTCTTTCTCTCTCTCTCTTTTTTTTGTTTTGTTTTTTTTTTGTTTTGTTTTGTTTTGTTTTTTTTTTTGTTGTTTTTTTTAAACACTTACTCTAGTTGGCCTTGGCTTCAGCTCTGCACCATTAAATAGAAGCTGTCAAATGGTCAGTCACTTTTCTGGAACAGTTTTAAGCACTGGTCATTCTAGTTAAGCCTCAAGCTTAGATGTGATCTTTTGAGAATGTGTGCTGATTTGCATGATGATTTTTCTCTCTCGCTCTCTCTCTCTCTCTCTTCCATCCTCCAAAGCATATAGTTTAAGGCTGATGGTACTAGTTACAGCTGCTAATTGCCTTGCCACATCTTTAAATACTGCCCTTCTATTGGCTTTATTATTATTTTCTAAAAATGTATTTTTGCGTACACTAAGTGCTATAGTGCATATAGCCTTACATTTCTTTAACTAAAAAGTTGTAAGGTTAAGCAGTGTAAGGATGAATTAATCTGACTTTTAAAAAAAAAAATTGTCAGTTTTATGTATAATTGTTATCGTTTCATCATATTTTTTTGTAAATCTGTTCAGTGGGGAAGTGCACTTTTGAGGTCATCCTAAAGTAAGGTCATGTGTCTCGAACACTGAAGTGATTAGGCTGGTCTGTGTTCAGAATATTAGTCATTTTAAAAGGTCCGGTACAGCTCTCTAAAACATGTATCTTTAAAATATATATATATATATTTATTTATTTATTTTAAGTGAAGTTGTGCCTCAGACAGCACGTTTAGAAAGGTATCAGCTGTTACAATGCTAGGGAATAATCTACTTGATGATTACATTTTAGATTTTAGGTAAGTAATATGATAACCTCCTGCAGCACCACCAGTAAGATTAAACATGGCAAGAGTCTGCCTCCTGGTTAGACACATGGTGTTTTCATTGGTGTTTTTCTGTGGCACAAACTTTTTTTTCTCAGTTTTTTTTTTCTTTTCTTTTTTTTTTTCCCCCACACAAGGGTTATAGAGTATCTCACAGTATTAACTAGTATGCCGTCAGATTGAAAAGCTTTAATTATCCAAAAATATTCAAGGCATTTTTATGTTGTTATTTTTATTTTATTGCTCTAAAACAAATTACACCTCACCCACTACCCCCAGTAAGGGAATGTGTTTGTGTTCACATAGACCAGATATTTTCATACAGTGTGACAAACAGTGTCTTATTTAGTTAGTGTTAAGTTTTAAAACTATTTTGGTTTATTTCCAACAGTAATATAAACCCATGTAATTTTGGGTTTACTGCTTTATCTTGTGTCGATTCACTGGTGTGTAACTGTCACTCTAGCTGTAAGCAGATAAGTCGAGCCTAATAAGGAACCTGGTGAAAACGACAATCATTCTTGTAATGTTTTGGGGGTTTTTTTGTTTTTGTTTTTTTTAACAGACTTAAAACACACAATAATCATAATACACTGTTTGTGTATTTATTTTTTTATTTGTGTTGTTTAAAGTCAGCCAACTGCAGCAAAACTTTACATTTTTTAAAAGCCTTATTTTTGGCAGATAAGACTTTTGCTTGTGTTGTGTGCTTAACTTTTTATTTTTTTTAAACACTGAACTAGGACAAGTTACTAAATTTCACCTAGACATTTGTGCTTTAATAAGCAAAACAACAAAAACAAGTATAGTCTGTTTGTGTAATTGCTGCATGAGTGTATGGGTGTGTGATTCAACTCTCTCTCACTTTGCCTTTCCTTCCTCTTTTTGCCCCTCTTGCATATGTAAGCATGCACATTCAACATACATGCTTACTTAGATCCTAATTTCAGTCTTACTCATCGATCTGTAAGTACTGCTTGAGTGTAATGAAAAAACTTCAAGCAGCCATTTTAAAGGTTGTGGTAGTTGGGATTTTTTTTTTTTTTTTTTTTTTCATTTTTTTAATATTATTTTTTTCAGGGTAGTTGGAGCCCAAGGTTTTCTTAACTAACCTCATGCTGTTGGTCAACTATAAATCGGGTTCTCAGGTCGAACTTTTGATATTGCATCACAGTTTACAGCATTGTCTGCATCCTGTTTATGGCTGCTCTGTCTTTTGCAACAGGAGGAGGAAACTTGAGAGAGTTAAAGTATAGGAGTAAAAAACTGGAGAGACCAGAAATGTATTTGGTTAGTACTTAGTGGTACTCAGTTGAATTACTGTTTATACTGTAGTTCAGGTACAGCAGTTGTTTGGATTAAATATTTCACCACACATTGTGGACGTACTTGTATATTTAGATGACAGACACTGCTGTTTGGCATGGGGGAGTCTTACAGTGTGGTCCGTACTTTCTCTGGAAGTGGTTACAAATGGCTTTAACTATAAAAAAAAAACACTTAAAAAAATAAATGAATGGAACAATGAGTCAAATTAAGCTTTGCATATTAGTTGATTGTTGTTTGCACCAAATTAGTTTGTTTGAAAAAAATATTGCTGGAGCTTCTAGGGAATCCCAGTCACTGCTTTACATGTGTGAGTGGCCATGCAAATGTAACTGGCTTTTCTTGAATTAACACATACTGTCATTACAGTACTTTTTTTAATTTTTTTTATTTATTTATTTTTTGTTTGTTTGTTTGTTTGTTTTTCTAGAAAGGAACAAAGCAGTTCTTTATTGGTCGCATCCTTGGACTACTGTGAACAGTAAAACTATTCATCACCTTCTGAGTTGCTCTTAAACAGCTCTTAAAGGTAATCTGCCTCTTTTTTCTTTTTTTTTAATTATTTTTTTTCTTCCCCCATGACAGTTGATTCCTTTGTTGTTTTGTGGACTGATCTATTTTGTGTGGAGATGATGAAAAGATCTCATGCTGTGTAAATATTGCCCAGTAGTTGGTGAAACATTTCATCATTAATTGTAAAGCTGTGGCACAGTGAACACAGTATATTTTTACCCTGTGCAGTTGTCTTGCCATATGCAGAACAACAATGATTTGGCTAGGCTAATCCCTGATGTTTATCTGGCTTACATGCTACATGAAACGGATTTGTAATTGGGTAAGGATATAGCTTGCTTGTAAAATGGAGAAGAAAATGTCTTAGTGTGGTTCCATGCACTGTAACTCTGGGATGGCCAAATAGTTTTAATCAGTGATATTTTTGCAAAGACCTTGTCACATGGATGGATGTGATTGCTGTTCCCTGTTTTTTTTCGCAGTTGATGATTTCAATGCGGATCTCCCTTTATTTTGTGCTTGTACTTGCAGAATACTCTGTAAAACAGACCAGAAGAGGCTAACCCAGACCACTTGATCTGGGGAGGTGATGGGTTGTCATGTCCATGTCCCTTTTGCCCTACTGGGTGTAGGAGGTTACTTGACCTTTCAACCTTGGGGTCAGGTGACTCTTTAAGGTCATTGTATGGGTAGCAAGTGTCTGTAGGAATGGGTTAAAAAGGCTGAGCAGAGAAGATGACATGTCTGGGCATGCTTCCTTTAAAGGAGAGAGAGAAAAATAGGGAGAGGTTGGAGTCAGTGATGTGAACAGTTCCACCTGGACTTGGAAAGAAATGATCAGCTTATAAGGAAATTGCACAACTTACCTGGTTTGTTTCTTTGTGTGCTTTTTGTTAAGTATTTTAGGTTTGTTTGATTGCAACTTCAGTGTAGATCAGGCTGTTCTGCAAAAAAAAATGGTGTGTACAAACTAAATATGAGATGAGAAAATTATACATGATTATTCTGCAGGAAAGTAGATCCACTGTAACAATAGTGGGCTGTCATTGTTTTTATAACTAGCAAAACCTTTTTGTAAATCAGTGAATTAATTTTTCTCATAAATTTATTTATTTATTTTTTATGATTTTAAAAACAATGTCTGATGTCATTTCTCACCTGCAGCTTTGCAGAGCACACTCATGTCTTCTGTCAATTTTTTTTATTTTATTTTATTTGAATGGCTATTGCAAGTTATTCCGTTTACAAAGCTTAAAAATGGCAAATCCCTGTGATCGGGAAGTAAGTGTGTGTGTAGCATTTCTGTTTGAAGACTAGTGTCTAATTTTTGTTGCACTCCTAACAGGCAGTGTGGACTTTATTAGCCTAGGACTAAAACAAGAATTTGCCCCACAAATCTGGCAATTGCACAGTCCTGGTTTGTAGTTTTAAATTAACAGCAGCTTCAAATGTCTTAAAACTCTGTTTTCTTGGTAACAATCTTATTTTTATTCTTTTTTGTCATTTAGGTGCAAAAAATATTTTAGGTATGCATGATATCAACTGTAAAATTTGAATTGAGGAAGTGTTTAATTTCATACTGACTTAGCTTGTACTATGGTTTTGGGTTTTTTTTGTTTTTTTTGTTTTTTTTCTCCATGTGTTTTTTTTTTTTAATGTTAGGCAATAAGGGACATTATCTGTGAATTACAGGCTAGACTTCTACTTATAAACTGGGTAAGTAGAAGAGGAAAGTGGAAAGGGGGCAAAAAAAATACACCACACTAAGTGGTCTTCACTGTTTTTCCACCCACCTGCCACTCTCAGGTAGGTCTGGCTGAGTTGTGCTGTTGCACCTGTGTTGACTACATTGGGTTACGCAATTGGGCTGTAATCATGAATGCCTCTCATTAATAAAGGTGTTTAATTTGCCTAAAGTCAGAATCACGCGATGTCCTTTAGATATCAGAAACTTTGCGGTAATGGCACAGGAGGTAAAATCAACATTTCTTTGCAGGCTGGTATAACAAGTTTTAGTTTGCCAGTCATCATAGTTCAAGTTGCATCTGTTTAACACTTTATTGAGAAATACAACATGTTTGGGGATTTTTAAAGTCAAATTCAAATTAAAGACTTTTGTCTGTTACAGTATAACCGATGAAAGCAGTGCCTTTGTGCCACTATTGTTGTTATCCCTACTCACACCTTCATTATCACATGAAGAAAAATGTTTGTGGCTTTTCTTTTCTTTTTAGTCTTTCATGTGAACTAGACTGGAGTTTGTGTGAGAAAGAAAACAACTGCCGAACTTATCAGTGTCTTTTTGGAGAGGAAGTATGCAAGAGACTTTATCAGATTCAGGCTATCATGTCCATTTCAGACTAAGGTCATAATTACAGGTCCATTGAGACCTCTAGTGGTAACAATTGTTGGCCTAAATCTCCCATGGGATTATTATCGGGATAATGTTTGTTTTAACACCTTCTACATGTTTTAAGATTTAAATGTTTTGTTGACATTTACTACAGCAGCCTAAAACTTTTTACATCAAGGGTGGCATATTCTTCAGTTGAAATAACTGGAAGATGTTTTATTTGCTGAGCTGTTGGGGGGGAAAGTTGTTGTTGTTGTTGGTTTTTTTGTTTGTTTGTTTGTTTGTTTGTTTTTTTTTGCATTTGCATTTGCTTTCATCTGCATTTCAGATGACCTATTGTGTGCTGGCTCCTGAAAAGGCAAAATATCTGTTAGTATTCATGTGAATTTTATATTTGTGGTCTCTCCATATGACCCCCTTTCTTTGTTTGAATTTTAATTTTTTAAAGTAAGCTATTATTCTTATTCTTTTGATTTTGCCCTAGTTTAAGATGAATTTTAAACCTAAGTTATTTTCAGTAGTTTCTATGGAGCATGAACAGTGAACTGCACTATATGCTAGCTTTACACTTGGATGTTTGAACATCTGCCAGTAGCACTAATGGGAGTGGAATGAAAATGCAACAATAGTTTGCAAGTTTACATTAGGGAGAAATTTAGTAATGATTTCTGACTTTTAGAAAAGTGCCTTGTCAAATAGTTTTACACTGCTGACATAAATCAGTCCTTGCCTTATTTGCAAGGGTGTAAATAAATAGTCATTTAATTTTGACTCCTACTTGTGTTTTTTTTTTTTATAAAAGTAGATTGCAAAATCTTTAAACTTCAGATGTAAAACTATAAGTACATTACGAAGTCTGTGGACATTGGTGCTCCTATAAGCTGCTTGGCTCAAAGTTGAGGGGAATCCTAATTGTAGAGCATACAATAATATTTCTGTATTTTAAATGTGGCAACAGTTTGGGGAATAAGTCTTCTAGTTTCAACAGTGCTTCATGCATTGAGCAATATTTATAAAGAAATATATTTCCAAGTTTTGTGTGGAAGAACTCCACTGGCCTACACACAGCTCTGACCTCAATCCCTTGGAACAGCTTGTGGATGAACTGGAGGCCGACAGCTAGCCAAGGGTCCAGGCCTTATCATCCAGCATCATTGTCCGATCTTACATTGTGGCTAAACTGGTGCAAATCTTGGCAGCCAGGCTTTGAAATTGTGATAAGTGATTTCCTGGAAGAGTGCAGCAGCTTAGTAATGCCCATACAGTTTTGAGATGAGGCTTTCAACAAACGCAAGAGTGTGAAGCTCTCCTGTCCACATACTTTTCAGCACAAAGAACACTTTAATACTTAATGTTAATATTTTGAGAATGACTTCTGTATTATATTAAACCTTTTCTCTCTCTCTTTTTCTTTTTGTTTTGTGTGTTTCAGATGCCGAGTCTCCATGGCCACTTTAGGAGAAGACTGGAAACTTCAATCTGATTCTGGTGATCACCTGAATGTCTTTAGGTGGTTTAAATAATAGGTAATGGCTCTGTATCCATCCGTAAACATGTGCTAAGGATTAGAAGGCCAGAAGATGAAGACGGCGCAAATAACACAGAAGCAGAGACTGTTTTGAATGGAAGGACCGCAGCAGCAGTTCTGGTGATGTTGTAGCAGCACGGAATGGTTTGTGGGTTATACTGAGATGCAGGCCATACTGTGCTGCCGCACTAAAGCCTGAATATACTACATAGCTATTATCTCACAGTCTCTCCACCAAACATACTGTTGCAGTGAAAGCTTGAGGTAACAGGTAACATACTGTCATTTTTGCAAAAAACAGTAGTCTTTACTGACTTGAATTAATTTCTCATAGCCTTTCTTCTCCCTCCCCCCAGCTGTGATGAGAAAGTTGTTTGGGCTTCCCCATTCTCATTTTCTGGTCGCCTTACTGTAGCAGCACGTAAATATTGGAGTTAACACTCTAGCTGAAGTCTCCAGTATTGATCGTACTGCTGAAGCAAAGCGGGCCACTCACAATCACAGCAACTAACCACCACTGAGTGTACTCGGACCACTCAGGTGGTGGCAAACAGAGGCTGGCCTTTAGAAATGTTTACAGGTACAGGTTGACTCACTGATTCTTACTTAATGTCTATTCCATATTGTATTGACATGTAAAATATGTATACTACATTTTATTACACTTCACTATTATGTGTAAACCTTTTGAGAATAAAAACGTTTTAATTCTGTTTTGTCTGCAGTGTGTTTTCAAGTTGTCATGCTAAACTTTTGTCGGTGTGGTGTGTTTAGTAGTCTTTAGTTTAAGGGACAGGAAAAGCGTTTGTGTTCCTGATAGCGGAAACTATTAACGAGGCTTTAAGAAGCGCCGCCGTCCTTGGAGAAGAAATGCTCACAATGGCCTGCGTGGCCTTTCTGCAGCGCTGCTGGGATATTTGGGCCTATTCAGCAAAGCGCAGTGACAGATTTGCTTCGGATTCAAATCGTTACAATCATGCTTGGATTGTCGCCCAAACACCAGGAGTGCTTCTGAAAAATCAAGATGAATTCACTGTCTGTAGTGTGTTTAAAAAAAAAATAAAATAAACAAAAACAAAAAGAAAATACGGTTTTAATATAATTTGGGCTCAGTTTATTCGATAGTTTTGGTTTTTTTTAATAACTTGCTTATAGCGGTCAGAATTTACCTTATATTCTTTTGCATTATAAGTGCCTTTATATTTTTAATCTATAGCGATATATTTTGTGCACTAAATCTGCAGTTGTGCTCGGGCGGCGGGCTAAGCCCTCCATTTTAAGTCCTGCCAGGATGATGCTGACGATGATCCAGATTCAGACTCATAAATAAAAAGCGTTTAACTTCGATTTACAGGCCTTTGCTATAGGATCGTTTAAGCTGGTTAATATCTGTATTCTTTCAAAACATCACGTAGGCTTTATGTGAATGTATAAATTAGAAAAGATTAATAGAGAAGTTGAGTGCGTTGTTACACTCCTCTGTAAAGTTATACATACCAGACCTTTCCGTTTTTTTAAAGTTTGTATGAAACAAACTAAGTGCTTGCATTTTCTTTCTTTTTTCCTTGGGAACAGTGAATTCTGTCTAGTCCAACATTTCCCCTTTTACTGACGAAACGCAGCTGCAGCAGTTTCCTTCCATTTGGCCTTATGCGCTTTTTGTTGTTATTATTATTATTATTAAAAGTTCAGAAAATCACGTATTTATGAAACTAAGAGAAAAACAGAATTGGTGCATTTAACAAGGGTGATATTTATGAATTTCTAATAAAAGAGTCTCAGGGATTTTATTATCCCTGATTTATTTCTTTGCAAGAACTTTTGAGTTTTACGAAATTATACAAACAATATAACCCTCCTACTTGTATATACACATTAAGCATATTTTATACCATTCATGCGGATTTACTAAATTATCTATAATATCTTAATCTTTAATATTGCCAAGACTATACGGTGGACATAAAACAGCTGTGTGTGTGTGTGTGTGTGTATTGACAGGGTAGGTGGGAAAGGGGGGAAAAATGTTACTTATAATTTTGGAAATATTTATATCTTGTCTTTCTAAATGCTATGATTTAAATGCTCAGTGTTGCATTTAAATTCCATTATTTTGCGCATTGGAAAAGCAACAGACTCCGCACACATCAAAATGTGGAAGCAGCGATAATCGATGTGCAGTCTGAAATTCCCTATAGTGACTTAGAATTGTTTATATATGCATTTTTATCACTGCTGGTAATTTTAAAAAATGCATATTTACCTGCTTATACCTTTCGACGCATTTTATTACCTTTGCCTACATTAATATACGGCTGTACATTAGTTCCCATATCCACCCCCACACCAAGAGAAATTGGTTCCTGGGTAAAATTTGTACCCGCTAATGAGAAAAATAATGGGAAAACTCATTATTCATTAAACAGCAATTTAAAAAAAATTACAATGGGGTTTAAAAACGTCCCAGAGTGCTGGAAATGCTCCAGAAATGTGATATTTGCTACACTGAAAAGATTATTCACAAATTATTTGAGTATTTAGTGACCGCCGATTGTCCAGATGAGAGCTTGGAGTTTTTTATTCTCACTTTTGGTATAAAGCGGCTGACCGTGCGCTGTCTTTATGGCCGTGTTAAAAAGTCAGTTATACAGCCGCCCAGTAGTTTTGTTTCATTTTTATCTAGTTAACATTTAACAGGCTGTGTTTATATTTGCGTGAGATTAAAATTAAAAATTAATAGAGACTCCTACTTTTATACCCATGCTTTATTTGCCTGGCAACAGAAAGCTATATATATGTACATGCGTGCCATGACGTAGATCCTGAATTATGGTCAGTGCTGACATCACTGATTCGCTTTGTGGCGTGATCTTATGGAGTCTCCCTCTCCAAAATGCATATAGGGAATACATAAACAACAGGATAACTGATCTTTAGTCACAATCCACTGTCCTTTTACTCTGATCCATTAAAAAAAAAGAAAAAAAAAGCCAAGTATCTGATTTGAGTTAACCCAGATTAATTCAATTTAACCACGTGTTTTGAGTTTTAGGCCTCAAAGTTACTTTCATTTCTATTCAGACGCACAGCAGAAAACCAGAGAATATACACACTTCTATTAATTACCCACTCTGCAGGATTGACTTCACTGTCTGGACACAGTCATGCAATGAATGAGTCGCATAACAACAACAAAAAATAGTATGCACGACTGCCTGCAGATCTATGATCTGACAGACACCTATAAGGATGTAAGGTTTCATCCACACACGTCAACGAGCGGTGTGATCACCGGGAGCTGCGGTGTCTGCAGCCTGCTGAATTTTTCACACGGGCCCTGTTATGTAACGCTTATAACCTTGAAGAGGCTGCAGCATCACTATGGCGCAGAAGCCTCTGTGGGAGAGAGGCCGTGGATCACACTGCATTCTTTCATTACGCACTTGCTTACTTCATCGAATTGCATTTACATGTATACATTTGGAAAAAGCAGCCAGTTCTGAGCTGTCGCATTAAATAAAAACAAAGAGTTGACTCAAAATTCTCAGATTTATTTGTGAAAATCACGTTGAACAAATATGAAATGATTTTTTTTTCTTTTTTAGGAAAAAAAAGGAATCGATTGCACATGGAAAAAAAGTGAATTGGTGTTTACTTGATGAAAAGACTATAACCTCAGAGGATTAAGGGTTGATTCGTTTGATTCTATGGCTTCATCGAGGTTGCAGCTTGTTCAATAAGGCAAAAAACAAACAAACAAAAACAACTAATGTAAAGAATTAGATGTTTTAAAGTACTCGCTAGAGTTTTACATCTCACTTGTCATGTCTAAATTATCTGACAGCTGTGAGTTAACGCTATCTAGTTAGTGGGTAATTTATAACTGTCAATAAAGCGGGCAGTAGAGTCGATTAACTGCATGATATATTTCTGACCTGCATCAACCACATCTATGTAAATGTCCTTGATTTCCTGGAGGCACGCACCGGTATGTGCAAAGACAGAGAAAAGTGCAGCGAGAAGTGATTCAGCCTCCCTGGTCACATACGCTGTGAAGGTGTGCGGCAGCAGCAGAGACAGCACCAACGAGCTGATAAGTGTGAGGATAAGAATGCTGATCCATCTGGGCACTGCCATGCGTTTGTTCCCTATTCGGTAGGAGCCACTCTCATGGGGGACCGACATCCTGTCCACTTCCCTGAGCCTCAATGAATCCCAGTTTTTAACGTCGAAATTACGCACAAGGGGACCGACGTCCATGTCTTTCCGAGACGGCAGTGGAGTATTGTTAAGCAGCTTTAACTTGTCCCGGAACTCTTGCATCTGCTGCAGAAAGCACAGGGTGTCGGAAACGCTCCCGAAAGACCCAGCGATGCTGAGCGCGCGTTTCTGCTCCTCCAGCGCTGCGCTCAGCTTGCTGATCTCCGGGTCGTATGCTTGCATCACCACCAGCTTTAGTGTTTCGAAGTCGGACAGGATCTCATTCTTTTTGCATTCAAGGGCACTGATGAGTTTCTCGAAATAGTTTTTTACCTTCTCTGCGTCCTTATTGACCGACAGAAGCGCCCTTTTCTTACTGGCTTGTAGTGTATCCAGGCAGGACAGGTAATCTGCGCTACGCCAGTTCTTCACCCCGCAAAGCAGCTCATCAAACGCCTTCTTTTCCCGTTCATACGCATCCTCCAAGGAGCAGAACTTGTGCCCTTCGTGGTCATTCGTCGCTGCGCAAAATCCACATATTAATTTCAAGTCGGTGGCGCAAAATATGTTAAGAGGCTGACCGGAGTGTTGTTTACATGCAGACATTTTGGGTATAACCTTTATTTTGCTGAACTTCTCAACTATCCCGCGCAGAGAGTAGTTGATCTGCAGGCTGTTTGCGCCGTTGTGGGGGTTCTCTTTGCGGCAGGTGGGGCATTTGAAAGGTGTCCTAAAAGCTGGACCTCGATTCCCCTCCAAGAGTCCCTCCAAGCATTTCTTGCAAAAGCTGTGTGAGCACAGCAAGACCCGCGGGTCCTCGAACAGACCGCAGCAGATTGGGCATGTAAGTTCCTCTTCTAGCTGCTCCATTGCACCCTGCAAACACATCATCCAGGCGTCAAATCGATACTCAATTTAGAAAACAAATGAAAAAACAAACCAACAACAAAACAAAAACCCAACAGCAAAAAAAAAAGGACACGATAAAACGCACTACACAATACGCACCCACTAAGGGATGCCTCCCCATAAGGCAGAAGATGCAATATTTGAACACGAAAAACAATGATGCAGCATCGCAAAGGATACAGATTTGGCTGTCACGTTCCAAATGTGTGTGGAATATCCCCATCCCGAAAGTGAAACCGACTCGGATCCCTGTACGCGCGTAAAAGCTTGGATTGAGCTCTGCCAAAAGCTCCGTTTGAGCAATTTGGGTCACGCAACATCCTGATTTTTGATGTATCTCAGTTGCCAGTTGGCGTTGTAAGAAACTTTTAAAAAGAGAGAGAGAGAGATCTCTGCTGGTTGAATGCGAATCAGAATAATCAGTAACTTTATAGTTAACAGTAAATCATTATCTCCTAGCTGTGTATTGCAAAATAGGACGGTGGTTAGCTGAGCTGAGCTGAGCCCCTAAATCCCCGTCGTCTAACCAATCCAATGCGACAAATTATCGACAAACAGCGCTCGCGTTAGAGTCGATCCTGTTGGCAAGGTACTGAAGGAGGGCTGTGACAGATTTTGCAAGCGCATAGTAACATGCAACTACTGGACCAAAAGATTCACTCACCAGCTGCTGACTGCTGAGACGCACAGTGCAACGCAATCATGGCGCTTGTTGCTGTGCAGACTTCGCCCTTTTCCGGGTTTGGAGTTAACCATTTCAGTGGCGTGCCAAATATTTTCTGCAGCATAAAAACTCCTCTATAACAGCGCACTTATAATTCAAACTGCACATAAATCCATACCGAAATGAAAACTATTGGCGTTTTAAAGCGATTTGACAGGTTTCCCCTTGAAGATCGGGGTGTTTACGTTTTTAGCCCTGCGGGTAATTTGCAGAGGATCCCTGCTTGTCTGTTGGGGGAGGGGCTGTTGCTATGCAAAACATTCCAGCGTGAAAAACTGTCAACTAGGTTTTAGTCGCAGCTTTGCCGTTGCACGTTTTTTTTCTGCAGTGGACTACTTCTGTCCCTCGTGTTGGCATTTGTCAATATATACCTGCAAACGATTTACACGCTAAGAGGCGCACGTGTGGACCCTCATCTGTATTATATATATATATATATATGTGTGTGTGTGTGTGTGTGTGTGTGTGTGTGTGTGTGTATCCATATTACAAACTACATTTAAATGCTTTGTTATTATGGAGCCTCAAGTTTGAACCTAAACTGAAAAAATAATAACTTAAAGTACATCAGGTGCACTGTGCTGGGCGAAATCAGCACCTTAGTAGGCTATGTATCCACCATTAAACCTTTGATGTTTTCCCTCCAAAATTCACTCTCTCTTCGTTTCGGGTTATGTAACATCGATATCCAATAGTTACTTAGTCACGTGTAGAAATGTTGACCTTGATTTTCTTCCCTTGTTTCCATGCCATCAGGAGCAACTGCCTATCTTAGGCGCTGTGATTGGATACAGCAGGGGTAGCAGGGGCTTATGCTGCACCGCCCTCTGCCGCTGGGTGTCGCCGTTGCGCAGCGGGACCTCTTGACGCTTTGACGTCCAGCGCTCTTTGGTTTCTGGTCTAAGTTTGTTTCCGGATGTTCGGCTGGTGTCGTGGAAAAAATAATAATGGCTGCGATGTTTACGTGTTGTCTAGGCTGCTGCGGAGATGGCGGATCGGGGCATATTCCCCTCAAAGAAATGCCCACAGTTCAGTTAGATACTCATCACATGGGTAAGTGAAGTTTGCGTGTAATTCTTGCTGCTCATATAGGAGCAGTTTATGTCTACACACGCCCAGCCGCCTCTCTCTCCGTGTATGTGTGTGTGTGTGGCAAGGTGGTTTGCTACTTCCGCTGCTACTTCCAGCTCGCTAGCCGATAGCTGCTAGTAAATTTTCCTGCGCTGCTAGGCTAAGCGTTTCTGTGTTTTGCAGTGAGCTGCCCTAAAACGTTCATTTGGTAAACTTTCAACAGGGCTTTCAGTTGTTGCTAACCGCAGCTTGACATGACACAAGACAAAGACAGCAACAACTGACCGGACAGAAAATTGAACCTGAGCTCTTTTACAACTGTCCATGGATGGAAGCTGTCAGAATCCCCCTCTTTGCGCCCCAAAGAGAATTTAAGACACACTAAATTACTGTGATTTTAAGCAGAAAGCTGTATTTACTTTGTATCTTTGGACAGAACGGATTAATCAGCTCGTTTCAATGTTCACTGATAAATGGAGAAATATACACATTTGTCCATTTTTATCTTGGCCACAACATGTTTCCCACAACATTGTAAAGTATGACTTACTGCTTCCTGAAGATCTACTTAAGTAGACTTCACAACCGGCTGTGACAGTAGAAATCACGACACGTGTGCTTTTGTATTTGAGGGGAAAAAAAACATGTTCACCTGTCTCAGCCTCTGCACATTAAGATGGAAGTGAACTAGTAATTTTTAGAAGATACAATCATAATTTAAAAGTTATGATATTTTTTTAAATGGTAGTTGTTACCGTAAAATTACATGCATGGCCTCGCCTGTATTCATCATAGGATTACAACTTAAAGGCTATTTTTATTAAAGTGGTGATGGTCTGGATCAGAATGATTACAATATTAATAATGTAAAAGTCTTTTCAGCTTTTTCACGGGTATCATGTGATCTAGAAAGTGCATATTATAAGTTGAAAGTAAAATCGAGCCTTGCTTTGTCTTGCAGGCACAGATGTTGTCATTGTAAAGAGCGGCCGAAGGATATGTGGAACCGGAGGCTGCCTGGCCAACGCTCCTTTGCACCAGAACAAAAGTTATTTTGAGTTTAAGATCCAGTCCACTGGTGAGCACTTGGTTTTCAAGCCTTTTAGTTATCGTCCTCTTTTCCTTCATGATTGCAATTTTCTGCGTTCCTGCTGGGAGTTATTGACACACTATTTTTAGATGCACACTGGTCTTGTGACTGCATGCTCACTGGTTCATGCTTACTTCTTCTTGCAATGACCATATTTGAAAGCACACATTATAGTTTTGTACATGTAGTTTGTGGTAAAAGAGTGATTGAGATGACATTCTCAACAGTTTTAAAACAAACAATCAGATCTCAGTCCAGAAAAACATTGTAGTAAAGTTTGTAACATAGATTGGAGGTCATCAAATATCAGGATAGTTTGGAATACACGTTTTAAAATGAACATGTTATTGGTGTGTGCCCTTCACATCTTCGTACTTGAGTAGTGTGCTTTGTGTGTAGGTGTGTGGGGGGTAGGTGTGGCAACCCAGAAAGTGAATCTCAACCAAGTGCCTATGGGCAGAGACACAAACAGCCTAGTCCTGAGGCACGATGGCTCCATTTACCACAATAATGAAGAGAAGAATCGTCTACCCGCTAACAGCATTCCTCAGGAGGGGGATATTGTGGTAAGTCACAAAAATAATTGGGCTTAATTACATATTTAATTTTGATGCCCTGATCTTTGAAATGTTTAAGTGTTATTAGTTGGGCTGTGAAGCTAAAAATGGAGAACTGTTTTGTGGGGAGAGGGTTTTCTCAGAATCTCGTGGAATCAATTAGAACTGGGGTGGGAACTAAAAACATTAACTTTTATCCTAAAGGCTGTTCCAGAGATAAAAATATCTTCTGTTGTAAGTACCGAAACGATTCATTGCAGAGAACATACTCTACACAGCTGCTGATCATCCCTTTTTTATTACATATTATTGGAATTGTTCACAAAACTGTCAGGACTCTGAAATAAGTTTTAAAAAGATACAAGTTTAATGAGTTCAGACTTGAGGTTGGAACAAATTGATTTTTTAAAAGCAGATTGATGGTGTAGAAATTCCAACCACGCTCTTTATAGGGCAATGTTTGGTTCTGCCACTACTATACAGTTTTACCATAATTTAAACTTTGGTCACCGTGGAAACCCTTCAAGTCTGTTAGTAGTTCAAGGTTCTTTATTTGTCACATGCATAGTTATACAAGTATAACACACAGTGAAACGTAACCTGACACGCTCTCGACATGTGCAAAAATGGGGGGGGGGGAGATAGAGGAAGAACAATATATATATATATTGGTTCCCAAACCACGATGTCATGTTCTGTGTGAGGATGCTCTCCACAGCGCCTGTATAGAAAATCCTGAGGATCTTTGGAGAGACCCTGAACTTCCTCAGTTGTCGTAGGTGATACAGGCGCTGCCTAGCCTTTTTGGTCTGGACCTGAATGTGGGCAGCCCATGTCAGGTCTGAGGAGATGTGGACACCAAGATACTTGAAGGACTGCACCCTCTCCACTGGAGCTCCATTGATGATAATGGGCTTGTAGTCTCTGTGCTGACTCCTTAATAGTAGTACGAGTGCACCAAAGTCACCTGCCTTAAAAGAAAGCAAGAAGCTATTTCTACAGATTAACTTGACATACTGGAACTACGTAAATGCAAAGGAAGAAACTTGTGCAAAGAGAATTATGAACTCTTTCCCCCATAAAGACATTTGATGACCTCCCCTGTACCCTTTAATGGCGATTTTTGACACCTCAGACACTCCTTTTGATTCTTTTCCCCATAAAGACACGGTTTGATGACCATTAGAGTAGTTTCCGTATTTTTCCAAGGATAGCTGCATAGGCTGAGACCACCCTCGTAATTTCTGATGTGAACCCAGTTATTTGGTTTTATAAGCAGGCCTAAACTTTGACAGAAACCACTCGGATCCCAGTAGACTTTTAGTAGGCTTTAAAGGGGTAAAGAGTAAATCTATAAGTGATTATCATTAATTTTATTATGACTCAAAGTATTTTAATTTTCATCAAATTTAGATCAGTCACTCACTCTGCACTGTGTTTCAGATTTAGCTGTTTGAATCTTGTCTGACACACACGGAGTGATCCATCTCTGCAAATATTTTTGCTAGAGAAACCAACTTGTATGAAAGTTGTGATTGATCACTGAGGTGCTATACTGAGATTGTTTGACGTGTGTGACTGTGAACATGCTCACCATACACACAATTCAAGATGAGCTTATATTTTTCAAAAAGCAATAGGATTTATCAGATCCAGCATTTGATCTGTGGTGTTTGTTCTATCCTATATGATGGTATTCTGCTGCCCATGTGCAATGAGTCTGCACATTTAATATCCTTTATTTATATCAAATAATCATAAAGACAGATGCAGTCACAAAGTTAAAAAGAATATAAGTGCACGGCCTCTCTCAGGGACGGTAACCGGACAGCTCATTAGCAGTCGATGCTTTTCGACAGTTGTTTCTATGTAAGTAAGTTGAACTTTACACAGCTTGTAACTAACTAGCTTGTAAGGTTGTGGTGGAGCACACATGTACGTTATCATCTGTTCTCTTTATCACTTCTTACTGGAACACTAGGCAGCTAAACAAACTGACATTGGCCCTCACTAGTGTTTCTTGAGTGATTCAGGCTACTTAGGCATACTTCTAAACTCTTAAGCCTTTGATTACAAAGGCTAAAATTTAATTTACGGGTTCAATCGGCTAAGTGCTGATGATTATTGCCTCTTTTCCGCTGATGCAGTGCAGTTTTGAGTTAGTTCTCGCTCGGCGCCTTTTGAGTACAAGCCCACATTTTGACAGGTTTGAAAACCAGCTGTGTGTGGAAGAAGTTGGGGTGATTTCTGTGGGAAGAATGTCATGAACACATTCAGTATGCGGGCTATAAATCATCTTTTTTGGGGGTAGCCCCTCCCATTGATGTCAGTGGTTTCAGCTTTGGGAGCAGCAGTTTTGTGCTACAGTGTTGGTGGGTTTGTTTGTTTTTGCTTTAAATGCGTAGAACCGGTTTTGTATTAGGCACTAACACTGTGTTGGTGGCAGAGATTTAGCATGTCTTCATCAAAAAATGCTTTGGCATGTTTTTTAAATCCAACTTTGTCAGTCCCATTTTCATTTGCCATAAGAGGAGAAAGCAAAGAAGTCTGTGAGATGGGAACCTTAGTGTCTTGTATTGTCTTCTTGTCTTTGTTTATTTGATAAAAGTTCTGTTTAAAAGAGAAAAAAACAACTTTTCCTGCTTCTTTTAAAATATAGGAAAGATTTTAAACATGGCACAGATGTAAGCTGTGACCTCCCGAGATAAGATACTTCAACAAGAGTTTCATGCTTTTCTCAGCTTGTGTATTTGTGTTCCTCAGGGAATCACATATGACCACGTGGAGCTGAATTTATATCTGAACGGAAAGAACATGCATTGTCCTGCCTCAGGGATCCGAGGCACTGTATACCCTGTTGTTTATGGTAAGTTGATTTCATATGTTCACTAGTTACCAATGATTGCTAACTATATGATCATTGTTGCCTTACTTGAATATAACAAAAAAAATGTATGGATCTTTTTGTATTCGTTACAGCAGTTACAACTTGATTCCACTAGAGGGCTGTATTGCACATCTTTGCCCAGCTGTTCTACAGACAGGCTGACAGTTTTAGTTGAATTGAGTTTAATAGAGTTTTTAATGTGAATATTTCGCCACACACAGGAAAGAGTGTTCTATTTGAACTGATCAAACACAGCTTTCATCGGAAGGCAGTGGCCTTGCCACGGAGAATCAAGACATGCATAATTTCATCCAGTAAAAAGTTACTGCAATGATTTCAGTGACTTGATTCAGTTCTCCATCTGATGTGTGGAGCTTGTCCAGATAATCAGCTGGCGGTTTTATGTTGGACAGCACACATGTAGGATGTTTGCTCTTGACCTGAACTCTCTAACTAAAGCCGTGATCAGAATGCAATCGCAAGTGTCCCAAATTGCATTTAACATCCGGGGGGGTCATCACCTGGAACCTGATCACATCACCTTTAATTTGGACTGATTCCATGTGTACTTGTAAATCAGATCTTGGTGTAATATTGTGGCATAAACAGCCAAATCAGAATTAATTTGCTAGCATTTCCCAAGTGTCTGAGAGTTGTAGGTAAAAGTTGATGAAATCTGTTTCATTTATGCCCCCAATCCCAACCACTGTAATTCTGCATACGCAAACACATGTATAATGTGCTGTTTTCATCCCTGTGTTTGGTAACATTGTCAGACAACACACGTACACAGGCTCAGGTTGAGGTTTTGAGAGTTTATCTTATAAACAGAAGAAAACCTAAAGCTGTTTTCACAGAGTATATACTTTCAGGGTCTTTAAAGGTGAAATTCAACTATAGAAAAGTTAAGACGTGAACAAGAATACAGTGTCTGAACTTATGATTGATCGTGTCTTTATCTTCTGTTCTAGTGGATGACAGTGCCATCTTAGACTGCCAGTTTAATGACTTCTATCACACTCCTCCACAAGGATTTGAGAAGATCCTCTTTGAACAACAAATCTTCTAAAGGAGCACTTCGGCCTCAGCCCCTCTATATGTTGTCGCCCTCCTCTATATCTCTTAGCAACCTCTGTATCACTACAGTTTGACCTTAACTGGTAGTATCATTATGCGTGGCTTGGAGGCATCTTGTTTCGTTCCCCCTGTTTACTCTCTCTCTACTGCTGCTCTGGATTGACTTTAGAGTACCCATGAAGAAGTGGGGATTTCTCTTCCTTGTTCGACTACAATCGGCTGTCACAGTCCATGATGATGGAAAGCTGTAAAATCACAAACTTATGTAAATAATAATCGATCTGTGTTAATTGAAAACCTTTCAGTTGCTGCTTTAATCCACAATACATGTGTGTAGATAACAGACAATGGATGTAATGGTATGTTCACTGTTTTTGAGGATGAGAAGCCATGTGTTATTGACATTGCTATATATATATATATATATATATCATACTAACATCTCAGCCTTTGATGTTAGTATTTATTTATTTGGTTTCCAGATCAAAGTTTGCCATCTTATTTTTTTGATATAATATGTATTTTGTTTTGGCCAGCAGAAGTTAGTGACCCAATGAAGGGTCAGCTATAATTCTAATACATTAACTATTACGCTGGCTTTTTGAATTATCACGCAATGAAAACATGGAAGTACCGCAACACCTTTATGATTAATGTCGCTGCATTATTTAGAGTTGATAGGGAGATTAATACAAACAATAAATCGGTGCACATTCCAGGAGGTGATGGTGCTGGAGACTGACATATTTCTGAAATTGGAAACACTAATATATATAAATCACTTCTTTGAGCAGCCCTTTTTTCACCCTAAAAAATATAGATTGTGTGTATTCTAAGTATCTGAATATTTCCAGAGCTGGTGCTGGTCGTCTCTGATTAGAGATACATCAGAAACGTGGAGTTGTTATGTACAGATATCGCATATCCGCTGCTGAAGTGTGACGAATAAATATTTCAAATGCTTGTCCTTGTTTGCACTAATGATGTTATTGTATGAAACCAAATATTGTTGATTCATTAAAGTTTTGTGTCTGGCGGCATCATTCTGGACCACTGTCATGTCTTGAGATTGTAGATCATGAAGCTGAGTATTTTTCATTTGCCTCGCTGTTAACGTAGCGGTTTCGCAGCTTTTTTACGTCCGAAAGTCGTCGTCGTGCGCAATAAATCGCAAGTGAATTTATTGTCACTGCATCGAGGAAAGCCGTGGAAACCAGGGCAGCCCAGACAGGAGGTATGCAATAACTCCTCCCCTCGCTCTGCGATCTGTTACGTACTCCTCCCTCTCTTCGGAGCCAGCAGCGGCGCAGGAGCTGCCGTGCCTCGTCTTTCACGGAGGAGATCCCGAAAGCCGGAGTAACAGCTAAACCCCATACAGCCATGGCAGAAAACGCCGGCTTAGAAAACCACCGCATCAAGAGCTTTAAAAACAAGGGGCGTGATGTCGAGGTGAGCTGACATATAAACGCTAGTCTTCGTAGCACGACTCAAATTAGATTTATGTAGAAAACGACAGTCTTTGGGCCTCCGTGGGGAGCCTGGCCCCGGCAAAGCTCCCTGCCAGCCAGCCAGCCTGCTAGTTAGCAAGCTAGCTGGCTAATGCGAGCTATCGAGAGGAGTTCGCCATCAAAGGTGCTATCTTGCTACCGGTAAAATTCCTCGTAATGAACCAAAGGTGGTGATAGCTATCAAGTGCGTACCAGTGGCTTGCAAATACTGTAATGTTTGTGAACGACAAACTGTGTTCTATTTGAATCGTTGGAACTGGGGGAATTAAAGGCAGACGATGTAGCTGTCAGTGCCAGCTAGCGTTGACTAGCTACTTGCAGAGACACCGGTCACAAGCAAGGCTGGGCCCTCCCGGCTCCGTAATCCTGATGTTCGCTCTGTTTTACAGCCAGCTGAACTCAAATGACACCCGTTTTAACTCGCGGCTGTCTCACACAATTGCCATATTAAGCAAAAAGAAAGTGCGTGTGTAATTAAATGTCTGTTCCACATCCACCCTAACCAAATATTGCCCCTCCTTGTTAGCTTGCTAATGTCAAGCAAATGACTAGCATGCGATGCCAGGTGAGGCGGCTGAAGAAGGCTGCTAACTAAGCCACTAAATGGTTAGCTGAAAGGTAGTGATGCGGTGACCTTAGCTTTACGGTACATTTTCAATCAGAAAAGCAAACTACACTGAAATTGCTACAACACCACGATGAAGTGAGGAGAGTCACTTTAGGCACAACATTAAGCTTGCATTGCTGTTAATAATAACTTTTTCTGACACTGCGGTTTTTTATGAAATTTCTTAAGTTAATCTTAGATATATTTCCTAATAAACAGTGCTGTTACAGAATAAATGGTGAGGACATTCATATCAGATTCGCTGCTAAGACTCATTCTAGAAAGCGCCATCAGTAGTCTGTGTGCACAGCTGGCAAATCTACGCTGGGCATTTTGCAGCATCATTCATCTAACGAGTCTAATTATAAATTTCTCTGACAGCATTTGACTGCAATGCTCATTGACATGATTACCAAACCATTTGGGTAAAGGCTGGGTTCAGAGAAGTCAAGATAAAGGAAGCTGGGACCAAAGGCTGTAATGAAGTACCAGATATCTAGACTTTTTTTTTTTTTTTTAAGATTACATATGTTATTTTTTTTGGGTTTCATCAGAAAACAACGCTCAGCCATGGCATTCACCAACAAAGACACACTTGTGCTGGGTTGTTCTGATCTATTGGTAATCCTGTGATAATCCTCAAACAAAGGTATGTCTGGAAATGGCCTTTCAAAAGCCACCAGTTTCCAGAAAAACTCCAGTTTCTAAAAACACAGATTGAAGACCTTTGGGTGGTTGTTTTGAAACTCAGAGTCACTTTGACAAGCACATGGCTACTATGACAGGCAGATTTGTGCCAAGTGAATTCCGGATGCTATTTTTGACAAATTGTTTGACCTGGGTCCTCTTAAGAGTCTCGGCGTGAATTTGAGTTTTTGTAAACGGATGACTCAGACTACAGCAGAGGGGGGGGAAAAAAGCCAGTTTGGGGTTTTATTTATTTAGGTCAGGCATAACAGATTGCTCTTCATGTCTGACACCATTTGGAACAGCAATGAATTGCAAAGCAGTAAAGTCTCGCTGCTACAGGCCATAAAACCCTCCTTTTGTTTTACTGCACATCATACACAGTGTGGCTATTGGACAGGTTGTTTTTTGTTTTGTTTTTTTGACTCCCAGTAACAAATCTGAAAAGAGTTGTTTTTTCCTCCTCTTTTGGTGTGTCTGGTAGCACCTGTGTGCCCTCATCAATTTTAATTTTATTTAAACATAATTGTTGTACCAGTATTGTAGGAACTTTTAAATCTTTTAGGTCCATCAAACAATCAGAATTTCAGCAATGAATCAGTTTAAATGTTTTGGTCTAGTTTAATTTCTCTTGATAGTCAGGCTGGGCGGCTACTTTTCATCTCGGCAAAGGAAAACATTTTTCAGCGTACGCGTCGTTATTGTTGTTTTGCCACGGTTGGGAGACACCTCTGCTCTGCAGCCTCCCAAGTTATGACTTTCCCAAATTACGTAAGAGGCTATTTAGGAAAGCAACATGAACCTCTTCAAATAGTCACAAGATCTGAGACCATCTCAAACTGTTCTGGATGAATTGGAAACCCAGCAGACGCACAAATACAGCAATTAGTTACTCTCTTTCTGAGTTGTTTTATTATGATTTCACTTTCAGTTGGATTGGTGATGGTTGCCTTTTGTGAGATACAGAATCTTGGTTTGTCATCAATTTTGTGTCACCTGTTTTTGACTAGTGTTGTTTTTTTTTGGTTTTTTTTTAAAATGTATATCCATTAAATCACTTGGCGTAAAAGGCTACAGTTTCTATTTTCTAACCATAGTAAATGACATGATTTCTCAAAAAAAGTGGGGGGGAAATTTCTCATTTCCTGTTGTGTTTGTTTTCATTGCAGACTATGAGAAGACATCGAAATGAAGTGACAGTTGAGTTGAGAAAGGTGAGAAACAATGCCCCATTCATCTACACACACAAGTATTGCAAACCTTTTTCTGTTTTTCAACCAATGGATTTGGGCGTATTGGGCTTTAACATGCTTCATATGGATGTTTCACATTAAGAGTTTCTACAAACGCTTGGGACATTTGGGAAGAAATCTGCCTTTGCAACCTGAAATTGCATAGACTGAGGGTTTAGCTTTAGCAGTGCTTTAACCAAAAAGTAGCAGCAGATTCTCTGCGCCATCTGTCTGCCTAAGAAGCATTCAGGCACATGATTGAGCTATAGCATGCTTGCCCTTGTCCAGTACACAATCACTGTGGTTAGATGCACATCCGGGTGTGTAGACTGAGTAAATTACAAGCCATTATGCCGTTAATTAACACAGCTGGATTGATTAAAATAGGATTCTGTGTGTTCTGTCAGAGATGTGAGACGGGCAACTGAAAAACAGAGCTGAATAGCTGTATTAATAAATGTAGCTTATGAAACTTCTATATTTATATTTTGTAGAGCACAGTGAACATCCTGATGCTGTTAATAGAAGATGATCTGCACTGTAGGTCTGCTTCAGGTGGTTCTGCCAAGAGATTTGCATACTCAAAAAGGACTGGGATTACTTCTGATAATTGTTATGCCATCTGCAAATGTATTTTTGCAGTAAAATAGGATCTTAATTGAATGCAGTGTGCGCCAGTGCAACAAAAGTACCAGAGGCTTCAGAATATATTCAATTTCTACTTTGTGTTGCTAAATTATGTAAAACGGCAACAACAAATGGTTCTGGATTAAAGTTTATTTGATCAACTTAAATACGGAGATTACATTGAAAGGGCAAAAATAACCTTAATTGTTTTTTCTTCCTTTCCTGTCTGCATTGAGTGTTAGCTTAACATATGAAGGGGAGGTAGATCCCCTCTCCCTCCGTTCATAAGGTGTCATTTGGGTATTTATTTTCTCCTGCACCACAAAAGGAAATCAGTATGATGTTATTAAAATGCAAACTGATTTTTTTTTTTTTTTTTTTTTTTTTTTTTTTAAATCCACTTTACCGAATCAGTTTATTCATTGCTAGTATGTTTAGTTTTGAATCCATATTTTTGGGGGTATTTCAAGGATTGGCCCAATCGTTAACCTCTAGGTATAGCATCACTTTTCATTTGCTGGGTAATATTTTCAACTAATTGTGCTGCTTCTTTAGGGTGTGGAGTCATTAAGAGATGTGATTCAGTTAACTGATCTTAACTGAAAAGAAGTATTGCATTCATTCTGCTCTCTGTTGTGGCTTCATCAGTGAACACATGTAAATGAGTTCACTGAAAAGTCTGCGTGTCTCAACAATACCTTTTCTACCCGATCACAAGTGATGTGCTGCAGCTTGTATCATGTTTTTCTGTATGTGAATCTATTGGCATTGCTCTAGTATGGGTGTTTTCTTTTTTATTTTTTGTTTTGTTTTTTTTGTTTTTTGTTTTTTTTTTGGGGGGATCTTAGACAACTCCCTGGCTGTTCTATATATACAAGAACTAGAATCCATTTAGGTTATGTTGTTGAAGCCATTCCAACAGTGGGCCCCTAATCTGTTAATTTGAGTTAACAGATTAGTTAGTTAGTAATCCCAAATTTGCATCTGTTTTTTTTTTTTATATATATAAACTTTTTAACATGTTTGAGAAGAATCATTGTTTTTGTTGCACAAGTTGTTTCTTATGTAGATTTCTACAAATGTAGCCTTTGTGGACACTTTAAAGTGCCAGATAGATATTCCTTACAGATCCTGCAATTAACACCATGAGGACAAAGTCATTTGTAGATATTTTATAGTCAGATTTTATGATTTTAAATGACTGGAAGCCGGTCCTCAAGAAGCTTTAGATCAGAAACAAGATCTGTATGATCTGCATTGAGACTTTGAAATTTGTCTTTAATTGAAATTGTGGCTCTTAAAAATTTGAGCTGTTTACCAACAGTTCAGTCTTTACAGCAGGGAAACCAAATCCCAAGTGAAACCACTTCTTAGAAACTTTCTTTTAAGCTTACTGATGTGTCAGAGCCTGTTCTCACTTTTATGTAGTTGGAAGCTGATTTCAATTTATTGCCACTGCTAGCTTGGTGAGGAATATAGCAGGTTTTAATGGTCGACTTGCTAGGAAAATGGGAAGTAGGTGGAATAATTTATTGAAACTTGTGCAAATATGCATGGAAACATACAGAATATGAGTCAAATTCTAATGACCTTGGACGTCAATATTTTGTATGACCACCATTTAAAGCTCGTTGGATGTTGCCTGCTTTTTTCTTTTCCTTTTTATTTATTTAAATGATCCCACACAGTTTCAATACTGTTGCTTTGAAAGAGTCATTTTTGTATTTTTGTTGTTGTTTTTATGTGTATGTTTGTTTCCCCACCCCCCACCCAGGTGTGCTTTTTGCAGCGTGTTTGGGTTTGTCATGCAGACTCTCTCCAGATGGTTTTACATGATGGATTAAAATTTTATGGTACTTTTCTCTGTTCATAATTCCACCAATTTTGCGAACACCTCCAACACCACTGGCTAAGATGGAGCCCCAAACCATGATGGTGGCTGCACCGTGGTTTTCAAATGCCTTAAATTGACAGTCATTTGAACTATAAATTTCAAATTTGGATTAATTTCTGCTTTCTTTCCTTTTGTAAAGCTCAAGACTCTTGTGCAGGACTGTATATTTCATGTTAAAAAAGCAAAACAAAAAACTAAAGCTTTAAGATAAATGTAGTGGAGTAAATGCTGTGCCGCTCTTTAGAATCACCTGCATGTTGCAAGAGGGAGGCTGCCTGCTCTCAGCTTGAGCAAAGTGTACAGGAAGTCTGCCATATTTAAAGCTCCAAATTAATGTCTGCAAATAGAGAACTTTATTTTATTTTCTTCTTTATTTAGTTTAGCTGTGTTTGTCGTTGTGTAAAACAAACCAGAAGTTGGTGAGTGGAGCTAGAAACATTTTCTTCACATTTAAACTTTGCATATGTGGTTTGATAGAGGACCTTTATTGGTATTTTAATGTGAAAATATTGATTGCTTATTTATTTTTAAACTGACCCTAGGCCAGTTGGTTAGGGTAAATGGGGTTCTGTAGAACCTGCAAGAAATCCAGAAGCATGTTTTTGTTCATGTCATGTTCATTTTAACCACGTGTGTGAAATTGACACACTGTCCCTGTGTTTTTGTAGTTCCCAGTCTCCCCATATTGGAGGGGTATCTGGTTAGTGGAAGGTGAAAGTGACTCTACTCTAATTTAGTGTAAAGTGAGAGAAATTTATATTGACTGTTTCCAAGTAACATTTCTATAAAAATCTGTTCTTAGCAACACAGCATTGAACAACTGAACACTATTAAGACAGTTGCCATATATAATCACCACACTTAGAAAAAGAAGCATATAAGATGTATAAGACCTAAACTTGAAATTCAAATTAACACGTGGTAAACTGTGGCATTGTGCTTTCAGGGAGAGTCGGAGAATGTTGGTAAACCAATGCATAAAGCAGCACAGCCTTCAGTAGCTGGGGATGTTGAAACATAAAATATTACTGCTGAGGTGGTCTCAAGTCTGGTACATTCCATTTGGATCAGAGGAACAAGAAGCACTGCACTAGCTGATTAGTCATCAGTGACGCACATCGGCACTCTGAGCTGGAATGTAGGGCAAGGGAATCTCCTCCTACCACTGAGTCGCATGTCCTGTAGATTGATACCAAATGAAAACGTTTGATGGGGACGCCGAGTGTGTTGAGGGTTAAAGGGTAAAGGTTCAGCGTCTGTTTGCTTTGTGGGTTCTCCTGCAGGCATTCTTTTCTGGATTAACCCCTATGATACGGGATTCTTTTCATCTGGCATGCTGGATATCCTGCAGAAAATGAAAAAGTTTGGCAAAGAGAAAAACGCTCTGCCTAGACTCACTGTTGGTTTAAGAATTCATGAATGCATTAATGAATACTTTCATCTCCTCCTCTCATTGGTCTTCTTGTCTTTTTCCTCTTGTCAGAACAAACGAGACGAACATTTACTGAAGAAGAGAAATGTCCCGCAGGAGGAGAGTCTGGAGGACTCTGATGTCGACTCAGACTTCAAAGGGGTAAGTGTGGGTGTGTGGTGGGTTTGATTTGAGTGAGCGAGATGTAGCGAAACCGGACTATATGGATATCAGGTCAGAAGGGTTAAAAAGGTGGGCAATGTACCGCGTATGGGATGTGTCAATAGGATTCCAGTTAAAAAAACAAAACAAAAACAACTTTAATCTCTCATCTTTTTAGATGACGAGGTTGTTAATTAGTATGCCAGGTGATACTGAGAGGAACCCCACTTAATTTTTTTTTTAATTATTATTATTCAGCCTGCATAGTTCTCATACAACCAGGGGAGGATGAAAAATAAAAAGCATGACATTGTGTAATATCTTGCCAGAAGCCTGAACACTAGGTGTCAAAAGCAGGGAGGGTTCATCACATTAAGACTTAACAGTGACTAATGCCATAGAAGATCCCAGTCTTATAAAATCTCAGTACAGACTTTGACTCACTGTAATTGCAAGAATTTTGCAACATTGTTTAAAGTCTTGTAGTTGGGTATAAAACATTTCATTCACCCCATACCAAAGCCCAGAAGAACCGTTTACCCCTTTGGATTGTCAGAAACAAAGGTAGTCTGATATAAAGGTCGAATGTGCAGCTTTCTGCTTTTTTTTTTTTTTTTTTTTTTTTTTTTGTCTTCATCAGTATAATCTGAAAGCAACCAGGAATTTCACATATGTGCACTAGAGGTGCTCCCTAATGAACTAGCAGGTGCATATTTACAATACCAGTTTATTATTTGACTTGTGAGGCAGAGAAAGAATGTGTTGCAGTAACAAGAAATACAAAATTGTAATGCACTACTTTGTAAAATGTAAATCTCACAACCAAGCCAACTGTTTAACAATACGAGCAAAATCTGTAGTGATTCTGAATGTGTCACAACAAACAGCAAGTAGGCTATGCAGCGTTAATGCAAATGGCTAGTTTTTGTCTTCACATGATGAGCCATCTTTGCAGTTGGTCTGCAATGTTCATCTTTTTGGAGTCTTTCCTCTCAAAATGATCCCACACTTTGGATTTCCTGTCCAGTCTAGTAAATTTAATGAAGTTAGTTAGTTTGTTATATTAACCCCGAATAACGAATAAAATGCACCATAGTGACAATGTGTAGCGTTAGCTCTTCACTTGCTATTGATTGCATGTTCTTAGCAAATTACGACATTGCTAATATTCTTCATTTTCTCTTTGCTTAGCAAAATGTTACGCTCGATGCCATTCTACAGGTACGTTTATCTCGTTCACGCCTTTTAACAAATATTGAATCCTTTCCCAAATGTACCAGCAGTGCCACCTTAACTTTTGGCTAGTTATGCTGATGTCTGTTATGGCTCTTGTTCACTGCAGAACGCTACCAGCGATAATGCGGTTGTACAGCTCAGTGCTGTACAGGCAGCCAGGTGAGTAGCTGATGAAACACTTTTGTATAAATACCAGTTCTTCCTTGTGTTTTCTGGTGTTAACTTTTTTGCATTCGATTTTTTTTTAGAAAACTGCTCTCAAGTGACAGAAATCCTCCCATTGATGATTTGATAAAATCTGGGATCCTGCCTATTTTAGTCAAATGCCTGGAAAGGGATGACAAGTAAGTGTGCTTCCTAAGTAGTACTTTTTTATTAAAGTTTTTTAAAATTATTATTTTGTTTAGCTTTTTGTTAATGTAATAACTTTTATTACTGATCCTGCTGCATCATTTCTCTGCTGCAGTAGAATCATTGTGTGCATGAGAGTGTTTCCCACTGTGTCCACACGTTAGAGTGTGTGGAGGCATGCAGGGCAGCTGGCTCGTCCTCTCAGTACAAACCAAGCCAAATATATCAACATTCCTGTCTCTCGGAGTTCCCCAATTCCCAGGACCTTGTGTTCACTGAGGGGGGGGGGCAGGAATGAAAAACTCGAGTGAAAGAGCTTGTAAGGAAGTAATTGTAAAGATTTTACCATGGCAACTAACAGCTGATAGCATCATGTTGACATTATTAGATATTTGTACATCAGGACTGGACTATTAAACTAGTTGATAGGGGGGTTTGGGGTTTTTTACCCCTCTCCACTCCTCCCCACGCCAGCGATCATCACACTTCACTTCACCTAATTGTTGCCAATGCTGTGGCTATATTTAGCAGCTTTAAACACCCCCTTTTTTTTCTTTTTCTTTTTTTTCCCCCCTCTTCCCCAAAAGTGCCAAACAAGTAATTAGGGAATAAACGCTCAATAGTGCTGCACTACAATGACAAGCTTTTGCTCTCGGATGGCAGACACAGCACTGCTTTGTGTATGTTGTTTTCAGTGAGTGGCACTAGCAGCAGTACCCTTAAAATATTCACTGCTGATTACTATTGAAGCTCCTGAACCCAAAAATCGTATTCAGGGCAGCCCTTAATATGTTGCCATAGCGCTGTGGCAGAAACCCAAGCCAGCTCAGCTTGATGTAAAGCCTCACAATAGAATTTACAGCATGAAAACCTCTGCCAATTAAAAATGGACAACCTATCCTTTGGAGGTCTATAAATTATCTGTGAATGCCTGGCAGGGCAGGAAATAAAGCGGGTCTCTTCACAACTGGATACCTCCCAAAAAGAAGCTGTTTTATTCTTTTAAATCCCAGAAGGTGAAACTTAGAAACTTCAGATCATGGCAGGTTGTCTGATGAAACATTTCTTTGGGAAGACGGAATTACCATCCTTTGTTACAATTAGCTAGCATTTGGCTGGTGGGTGGCGTGAGAATCACTTTTATGTGTGTGATTTTTATTTTGTGTTGCATCAGTTTTCCTAAACTCATTTTAATGATGGTTCTCCATTTTGAGTGCAGTTAAACTGAATGATACAGTTTCTAGACCTTTCTGGTGTCAGATTTGTTATCTGTCACAAGATTTTGGACTACCTGTATTAATTCTGCTGTTGTAGTTATCTTTTTCTTGAAAAGCCAGCCATTGAAAACTCGGTTCTCTAAATGAGCACCACAGTTTGGTTAAAGCATGTTTTGCTCTAATTAGTTCAAGAAGGCCCAAAACAAATATGTTAAGAATTTGAAATGGCAAGTGGGGGGGATTGCACATGGATATTATTAATCCCTGCTCCTTCCATTCTGTCTCGTCTGCTGCAGAATAAATGAGCTTACTTTGTTTTCTAACTGGTTTTGTTTTCCCTCTGTCTTACAGCCCGTCGCTTCAGTTTGAGGCAGCTTGGGCTCTGACCAACATTGCCTCTGGGACGTCAGCACAGACCCAGGCTGTGGTTAAATCCAGTAAGCTGACCCCACGGTTCATGTTCCCCTGTGTTACCCCTTCAGTCTGTGTTTATATTCTGTCTGCAATTTGCCAAGCAAGCATATTTATTTATTTTTTCACCCAGTAAGGCTTAGTTAGTTCTTGAGATAATGCTTTTTTTTTTTTTCTGCCTCAAAGTAAAACATGGTTATCTAATAAAACTAACATGACTCTATAGCTAAAACCATGTTTAATATTCAAAAGATAAGATGGCTGTTAGAGATGTGGAACAACTTAGTTTGAAATTATGGAAAGCCCCATATTAAACACATGCATGTTTGCTGAGAGTTATAATGAGGGGTAATTTATGCTTAGACGTCTACATGGCACATTTAATCATGTTGGCATTTAAAAAAAAAAAAAAAAAAAGACACAGCATCCCTTTCTGTTGCTGGGAAAGCTTTGTGCTCACTTGCTATCGGTCTAACATATTTTAATGATAAATTTGTAAATTTTGAAGATCATGAACAAATTGGTTTAGACAAAAGGTTTCTTTATGGTCCAGCCAGTGCATCGAATGAATCAAACTATAATGGTTGTAGCGTATGTATATATTTGCATTGCACTTCCACTTTCTCTATATGAGTGGGCCAATCTTGACAAAATTTGCATAAACACTGCCAAGGCATTTTGAGTGCCAACATCTATATGACACACATTTTATACAGATCCCACAATCATCCTTTTATTTTTTTGTACATTTGAGAGTTCAGTTAAGCACCAAATGGAGTGTTGGATTGGAATAGTGTGTCACACAATATAATGTACACTATTGCCAAAAGTATTCACTCAGTCATTCAATTCAGGTGTGCCAATTGCATCAATGTTAATGTGTATAAAATCAAGCACCTAGGCATGCAGGCTGCTTCTACAAACATTTGTGAAAGAATGGGTTGCTCTCAAGAGCTCAGTAAATTCCAGTTTGGTACCATAATAGGATGTACCCAGTGCAGCAAGTCCACTTGTGAAATTTTCTTGCTATTAAATATTCCACAGTTGACTGTTAGTGGCATTATAACAACGTGGAAGCTACTGGGAATGACAGAAACAACAGCAACTCGGCCAAAAAGTGGTAGACACATGATGGTCTGCACAGAGGTCGCCAACTTTCTGCAGTCAGTTACTACAGACCTCTAAACTTTACATCACCTTTAGCTCAAGAACAGTGTGTAGAAAGAGCTTCATGGAATCCATTTCCCTGGCCTAGCAGTTGCATCCAAGCCTTACATCACCAATTGCAGTGCAAAGATTTGGATGCAGTGGTGTAAAGCACACCACCACTGACTCTAGAACAGTGGAGACGTGTTCTCTGGAGCAATAAATCACTGTTCTCCATTTGGCATCCGATAGATAAGTCTGGGTTTGCCAGTTGCCAGGAGAACCGTACTTGTGTGACTGCACTGTGTCAATGGTAAAGTGTAGTGGGTTAGTGGATTATTGTGTGGGGCTGTGTTTTAGGATTTGTTATAGCGAAAGGCACTTTTAATGCGTCAGCATTCCAAGACAATTTGGACAATTTCATGCTTCCAACTCTGTGGGAACAGTTTGGGGGCAGCCTCTTCCTGTTCCGAAACGACTGCGCATAAGTGCACAAAGAACGGTCCATAAAGACATGGATGAGCAAGTTTGGCATGGAAGAGCTGCACAGTGTCTTGATCTCAGACTGACACAACACCTTTCGGTTGAATCGCAGTGGAGACTGTGAGCCAGGCCTTCTCCTCTAGCATCGGTGTCTGACCTCACAAATGTGTTTCTGGAAGAATGGTAAAAAAAAATTCCATAAACACACTCCTAAACCTTGTGAAAAGCCTTCCCAGAAGAGTTGAAGCTGTTATTGCTGCAAAGGCTGGGCTAACATCATTTTAAACCCTATGTATCAGGAATGATATGTCACTCGTGTTCATATGCATGTGAAGGCAGATGAGCAAATACGTTTGGCAATGTAGTGTGTCATAGCATCATACTGTAATGATTGTAACACATGCATGTTTATGTTCCCGTAGTAAGTTGAAGCAAATGTCTGGATTTCACATCACCAAGTTGTGATTGTGACCATAAAGAAACAGAAGTGAGTGCAGGTCCTCAGCATTTTGAGAGTGAGTGCGTAGAGCCAGTTACCAAACCATTTCATTAATAGCCATAACACATTACACCATGTGTTACAGCTATTTTTTTTTATTTATTTATTTTTTTTTATAGTCATTTAACACCTGAGCCATTACGGTGCCCCTGTAGAAAGCTGTATCGATTAGCATAGAAGCCTATTGTCTAGAAGATGTAGTACTTGGAGTATAGCTGAAAGCTTTCTTCATAATACAGAACCATCTCTAAAGTGGAGAGGACCTGCTTGTATGAGGGGTGTATGTGAAAAATGACCATTCATCTCACCCCTCCATAATAACTGTTAGTCCTAAACAAATCAGGTGTCTGTGTCAGTTTCATCTCTGTTAGTCTCTATAGAAATACAAGTGTCTTAACCCATTGTGGTCCAGCATGGTTGCAGAGTTGGAGCAGATGTAATGATAGTTCAACACATTTCTGTGCGTAAGGCAAAAGTCTGTTGGCTCATTCTGCAAGACAAGTGGTGGACATTTGGACTCATGTTTTGTTTGTTTGTTTGTTTTTATCCCCCTTGCTAGATTCTGATCATTTAAGGTGGCAAAATAAACAGTCCATCACCCTGGGCACATCTGATAGTTTAATCTTTGTGCTTGCAGATGCAGTGCCCTTGTTCTTGCGACTGCTACACTCTCCTCATCAGAACGTATGTGAACAGGCTGTGTGGGCTTTAGGAAACATTATAGGTGAGTGTCCCTCTATGATAGATGTGCTTGTTTTTTTTATTTTGTTTTTATTTATTTTAATACTGCTTGGAAGCAACCATCCAGAGTTCTGTTGACCTCTGCCCCCTTGCACAATCAGGTGATGGGCCACAGTGCAGGGATTATGTCATCTCTCTGGGTGTGGTCAAGCCCCTGCTTTCTTTCATCAATCCATCAATCCCCATCACCTTCCTCCGTAATGTTACCTGGGTCATTGTTAACCTCTGCCGCAACAAGGATCCACCACCACCCATGGAGACTGTGCAAGAGGTGGGTGTGACTGCATGTGTATGTGTGCGCGTGCGTGCGTGCGTGTGTGTACCAGCTCTCATGTGCCATACAGATGGTTGAGTTTCTTTGCATTTGACTCTGTCACAGCAGGCTGAGTCACGCTGAGCTTTTACAGCACATTTTCAGTAGCCAAATCAGCCTCTTCACCCCGGGGAACTTCTGACTAGAAAGCTTTTGCTGACAATTGAAGTCTGGTTTTGACAGCTGTTCCTCTTGTGATGTTTTTTTTCTCCTGTTTTTACCTTCATCTATTCCTTTGCCTACTTCCAACCCACTCACAACCTACTTCTTTCCCCACAGATATTGCCTGCCCTCTGTGTGCTAATATATCACACCGACATAAATGTAAGTATCAGGCTGTGCTGTGATTACTCAAGTTATTGGTTTACTAATGTACATAAATTATAAAGACAAAATTTAGTGCTTAGTTTTTTCAGTTCTAGCAGTATAGTAACTGTCTCAATTCTTACGTGTTCTGACTCTGTGTATAGATCCTAGTAGACACAGTGTGGGCTTTGTCCTATCTGACGGACGGAGGCAACGAGCAGATTCAGATGGTCATTGATTCTGGAGTTGTTCCATTTCTTGTGCCTCTCCTCAGCCATCAGGAGGTGAAAGTTCAGGTAAGACTAATTCAGTCCTCCCACCCGGTCCACACTCTGAAGCCAATTTTTATTTGAAGTTGTATTCCTCTTTTGTTCACAAACTACAGACGGCAGCTCTGAGGGCAGTGGGAAACATTGTGACGGGGACAGATGAGCAGACACAGGTGGTTCTCAACTGTGATGTTCTGTCACACTTCCCCAACCTGCTCACACATCCTAAAGAAAAAATTAATAAGGTATGAGATCCTCAGCCTTTAAGCTCATTATGCTTTTTCTTCTAGTTTCTTATAGCTTTACATGAAAGTAAATGGAGAGTAAAGTAGTATTTATTGTAAAGATAATGTAACGGGAGCAAGTTTTTTGTTGTATGTAGTTATTTTATTTAATTACACTCAAAGCTTGAGAGTTGTAATTTAAACTGGTACTAATCTGTACTTAAAATCCATTATTTAGGTGAAATGTTAAAATATTTTTTTATTGAAGCAGATTCATTCTATATAATACACTGAATGCAGTCTTTTTTTTTGACCATTTGTGATTGGTCTGTTTGCAGGAAGCAGTCTGGTTCCTGTCCAACATTACAGCTGGGAACCAGCAGCAAGTCCAAGCTGTGATTGATGCTGGTCTGATTCCTATGATCATTCACCAACTGGCTAAGGTTTGTGTGTGGTTAGAAATTGGAGGAAAGGGGGGGGGAAGCTCAAGATTTTCTCTAGTTTCTGTTCAGTTCTGTCCCCGCATGGTACCAGACACACGATGTATAAATTCATCTTGGCATTTAGTTGCACTGACACCTTTTTATATTTTCTAGCCAGAAAGCAGAACAGTTTCTGATAGAAGACATGGAGACTGAATGCATATTTGGCCTACATATTGTGTGTATTTTGACAATTTGCTGTGTAGTACATTTTGGTGACAGCCTGGCTCTCTACAGGGTGATTTTGGCACTCAGAAGGAGGCAGCATGGGCCATCAGCAACCTCACCATCAGTGGGAGGAAAGACCAGGTGAGCTTGGCTTGTGGACCAGACAAGATTTTTTTTGTACTTGGTTTAAAAAGATTTGCTACAGTGAAATGGGTGTATGTTGTTTTAATGAAAAAAAAAAAACAAAAAAACTGCATTTTTTCACTGCAGTAGGAAATGTTTGCCTCATTGTTTCTTTCAAGAAGCAGAAAAATAATAATTGTAGGCTGAAGCTACACAACATTGACTTAAGTTATGAAGGTCACTGTGAGTGCACTTTCCACACTTGTAACCATGTACCTATGTTGTAATCAAGTATGGATGTGGTGTATGTGTGGGTTTGTGTAGGTGGAGTTCTTAGTGGAGCAGAATGTCATCCCTCCGTTCTGTAACCTGCTGTCCGTGAAGGACTCCCAGGTGGTGCAAGTCGTCCTGGATGGCCTGAAAAATATTCTCATCATGGCAGGAGATGAAGCCAGTACTATTGCTGAGATCATAGAGGAGTGTGGAGGTCTGTGTTTGATGGTTTCCTTGTACCCTCTTAGAAACTTGGTGTAATTGGATTGTTTATCTTACTGAAGTTTTTTACAATGTTTGTTTCTAAAACTGTTGTTTTGTCTTTTTCAGGTTTGGAGAAGATAGAAAATTTGCAGCAGCATGAGAATGAGGATATCTACAAACTAGCCTTTGAGATTATTGATCAGTACTTTTCAGGAGACGATGTGAGTTAACCGCCACCATGCGTCTCACTTTCTGTTATTTTGGATTTGTTTTCCTTTTTGGGCAATGTCTTACTCTAGCATTCGATCTTACAATGTTTGTTCTTTTTTTTCAGATTGATGAAGATCCTAGCTTGATTCCTGAAACTACTCAAGGAGGAACCTTCAATTTTGATCCAGCTTCCAACATGCAAACAAAGGAGTTTAATTTCTAAAAACCAGGATGTTTGGTTCAACCAGTTGCACGGGTACTCTGTAATCACCCCAGACATTCATCCATCTCTCCTCCAATCTGGCAACCTGGTACAGAAGGATATACTTAGCATCACGTCAACATGGAAACTCACCACTGAAGGGTTTACCCACCCCCATCTCTGCACTATGGGGTGTTTTTGATTATTATTATTTTTTTCTTCTTTTAAATGGTCATCGTTCACAGAACACTGCAACCCTTCATAGGAGTCCTTGTTATCCAACAGGCATATTCACCATCTGGCAACCTGCATCAGGAAGATTGTCAGTATTTTCTGCTAGTGCTTCTAAAATGTCACACAGAAAGGAAACCAGAAGGAAGGAAAAGCCTTCACGGAAAGATTCAATTGCCAAATGTCAAGTTCTCACAAAGACGGAAAAACATAAGCACATTTTCAGACACATGAACACGCATGCATATACACGCACTTTTTTTTTTTTGACACTTAGAAGAATTTGTGTGCATACTTCAGTTAGAAGCCATCATATCACTCATGGGGAAGAAATACTGCTGTTTGTTTGTGCTTTATTTTGTGCTTTCCCCTTCCCTGGATTGTCCTCTAGTGTTACTTCACCCATGCACACTGACATACTACAAGTACATACATTAATACATTTCGTGACACTGATTCCTGATAGCCAGGGCACACCAATATCCTCTCTCTCGCCCAGTTTAAAGAGTTAATCCCAGAGCTAAGCCATGATTAACCACGGACCCCCACTGCCCTCCCAGGAGAGTCCTTGGGCAGGTGGAGGGGCGAAAGGGCTCTAAGGCAACAAGAGGACTCCGTGGCAAACTGACTGACAGGACTTCTGACTCAATGGCGTCACTTTTTTAATGTGACCTCTGTTGAATTATCAAACTTACTGTTCGTTTTAAAAAAAATCAAAAATGTGAAGAAAATGCCATAATTTTTTTTTTTTTTTTCCCCCAATACAACTGTTAAGACCTGCTAATTGCCTGCTACTGATTAAGCAAAGCGGCAAAATTTTTATTTTAACGGATGTGAATACCTGTCACGGGAGGAATCACCTTTGGGCGAAGGCACAGAGACTTAAGAGGAACACGTCAGCTGTAGCGTTTATCTCCCCCCGCCACCCACAGGACATCCTCCTTCTGAGCTCAGCCACGTCCTGGGATTCAGTAAACTATTTGCTCGGGATTCCCCTGTAATGTGAAACTCTGAATGGAGGGAGGGGGTTTAACGAAAAGAAAGAAAACAACTTAAAGCTAAAATCATCCTAATTGCAATATGACCTTTTTTTAAATTTCGCTACAGACAAATTGGTTTCATGTTTCCGCTTCTACTGGTTGGGTCTGTGGAGCTTCCTTTGTATTACTATTTTATTTTTTAGGTTTTCTTCAGTCTTATGCACACGTCTGAGAGGCATAACGATGTCTGACTGCAGAAACGACAAAAAGGACCTACACTCACTGAAGACTAGACTTGTACAACGAGTGCAGGTCCTGATCTTTACATTACTTAACTACTTTCGATAAAGAGGTCACATGTCATCACTCAATTTGAATAACTGTACAAAAACATGATGTGTATCTCTCCTTGCCGTCTAATGAATATATATTTACATAAAGCCTGTACAAAGCTGCTGCAGCTGACAGTCATTGGATGGACGATAACTGTCAAAGATGGCTGGGGAGGGTCTCTATTTTAATTTTTTTATTTTTTTTTCTCCTTTTTGAAGCAATATTTCTTTTATTGTTTTTACTTTCGACTTGCATATGTATTGTGATGACATGCTGATAAATTGGAACAGGTTGGTTTTGTTTTGTTTTTTCCTCCTCTCTCTGTAGTGGTGACGGGCTGTTTAAAATGTACCATCCCGTGTCCTGGTTAATGTGCAGGCTTGGGGTAAATGTGTCAAACTTTAATCCCAATCATAGCCCTGGTCTGGAAGACTTAATGATCCCACCCCCCCGGTTGGCTGCTAACTACTTAGAGGGGTTCAGAGCTGGGGTTTGGGGTGGGGATTGGGGGGGTGGGGCTGGGGGTCACACTGGGGCTTTAAATACTGAGTGGGCTTGTTATGAGCAGCCCAGGCTTTTTTGTTTGTTTGTTTTTGGTTTTTTTGGGACTAGCTGTTTATTACTGAACAAAACTATAGAGAGGGTGTACAGTCATGAACTAGCAGACTAGACCGAGCCACTTTAAAGATTTACAATTTCGTTGCCTTGTATCCGCATTGGATACAAGCTTATGTTTGTTGCAAGATTTTTACTTGCTAATGAAAAGTTGTTTTAAATAAAATAATAGGAGAAAAGCAACAGACAGCGTTTTGGCCTCTGATTGTTTGTATCTTTTTATAAATTTTAGATTGAATTCTTCTCTTTAAGGTGGCTCACTGATGCTTTCAACTCTTGTGCATATTAAAGACGAGAATGAGTTGAAAATCATTGTGCCTTTTGTTTTTCATTTCAACTACAGCTAGGTTTTATCGAATAGAAACGAGACTGAGTGACTGGAGAATCTCTAAATAGGGGACGTGGCTTTAGTAATGCGTAGTCTCCTTGTTGTTGGAGTTTGCCAGTAGAAATGGTCAATGCTGCTCTCTGCTGTTGGAGAGTAACTTGCTTCCCTTCTAATGTCATTCACTGAACATTGTATGACACCATGCATCCCGACCATTCCCCCCCCCCCCCACCTTCTCTTGGAAAAACCACAAGCCATCATTGCCATTTTTCAGTTGGGGGGGATTCTGATATCTCCTCTTCATCTTTGACCCTCAGGACATGATCTGTGTTTCTGATCCTAACCAAAATAAACTTGCTGTTTAGCCGTTGGATCTTTCGTGCTTTTGTGACTCACACATATGGTAGCTGTTTTAAGTTGTATGGGTGCGAGTTGCTTTCTGCAGGGATTCATTTGATCTAAGTGTTTGTGAGGAAGATTGAACTCCCTTTGAGCTCAGTTTTTACGTGCTCTGAATATATTTTAAAGATGAGCATCGCTTCCTTTATGTGACTTTAGCAGGCTGACCACCTTGTTATGAAAAAGCAAATGTAAAGTACTCTTTCTCCTTTCTTTGGCTTGTCCTTTTTATAGGTCAGACATTTCAGCAGCTAATTGGATGATATTTATTTGTGGTTCATGGCTGTCTTTCAAGTAATTTTTAGACTTTACTCTGCCACCCTAATGTAGACTATACCAGACTTTTGGCTCTGCTGTACATATTCACAACTGAAAACTAGATTAGAGGAATAAATGCCTCATTTGTGCTGTGAATGTTTCCGTTAGCCGAATCCTTACGTGAGTGTTGATGAACACACTGGCTCACTCAATGATTAACTTGGACAGCAAACACTGAATCTGGGTTTCCTGTGGAGTACAAAAAGAAGCAAAATAAGATAAGAGGCCTCCAAATGGAACGTTAATCCTGCTTGACCCAGATCCAAATGCACCAAGTTAACCGCGTGGGGAATTGTTTTGTTTTTTTAGGGGGGTGAAGTACAAGTATTTTACATAACATGGTGCATTTTAGAAGAATATGTAATCAATAACTCTAAAGAGGCACACAGCAAATCTGAGAATGGATCATCTCTCGAGTGAGGATGCTAACTTCTTTCTTGACCTTTGGAAGAGCAGGCGACTAAAATGTCCACTTAGATCTGAAGGTTTTGGTTGCATTACAAAAGCTTCCTTTGCAGATCCGGGCACTCAGTTGTCTTGAAACTTTAAAAAAAAACCTGACAAAAAAGAGGGAGAGACACTCAAAGTATATTTCAATGATGAGAAAATGCAATCAGAGAAACAACGACCTTTTATTATAGAGAGGTAAGGCAAACTTTATTTTCAGAAGATGTTTTTCCTGCTGATTCTGGTACCTCTGGGTAAAATCTGATTTTTATTTATGTAGTCTGACATAAGCAATGTACATAACTGATGTTTAAGACATTAAAGAATACAGTACTTTAAACTGTGCGTCAGGATTGTTCTTTACACTTCCAAATAACAGACACAAACGCACTACTAGTCTCACCACCGCATCAAAAAAAAAAAACCTCCCTGAGTATAAAAATATTATTAATTCTGAAATTTGGGCTGCAAAACACCAGATGTCTCCAACTTCAAATCCTAGGTGTTTATTAAGTTCTGGTTATATCCATGTTGCATTTTGGATACGGCATAAAAGAATAACTATCTAACAAAAGTCTTATTTTTCTTAAACCTGACCAAATATTCCTCTATATTCCTCTTCGGCGAATGAATGTGAAATCTAGTGTACTACTTGGAGGTTAACTGCATACTAATCTAGCTGAAAACCACAGCTAGATTTGGTAGGTAAATGCGAGGTGGGGATAGAGGCGAAAAGGAAAAATTGGTGAAATCTGCAATCGACTGTGCTGGTCTTAGAATCACGTGACATTATTTTTCACCTCACTTCCGCAAATAAACGCACTTGAGCACGGCGGCCACGGCAGAAAGTGAAAACGGACTGTCAGCCGTTATGTGCCATGGTGAGGCGGCCAGGAGCAAGCGCCAACGGCCGTAGAAGCAGACCTGCCTAACGGGTGAGTCAACGGGAACGTATTAATGTTGTAGCTTTTTAAAAACAAACAAACAATCAAACTGAAATGTGTGGGTTTTTTTAAAAAAATCTTAAACGCTAGCTGTAGCCAATTAAAAGATAAGTTAGTACCGATTTTCCCGGCGGGTGCGTCAAGTACCAGCTGCATTCACGGTGTGTTATGATGCGTCAGCTGGACTCACTGTGCTGAGTAATCCCTTTGTTAACAATAGCAAACATTAAACAGCAAGCTGTGGTCATGTAACAGTAACTACGAGTGGTTTTAATCATTACACATGATGCAGGTGGGAGGGGGTGGGTATTTACGGGATGACGCCTGTGTTGTGTCAAAAAGGGATTTCCGGCATTTGTCAAAAATTAACAAATAAATAGTCCGTCTTTAAAGTGTTGTAAATTACTTGTCAAGCATATCTCTTCTGAATGATACCAAGTTAGTTTTAGTCAGAAAGAACATTCATGTCATAAGGTAGACGCTTTTAACAGGGGAAAAAGGCTCTTATATATCCTTTACTTATCCAGGGAGAAAGTCTAACTGACATTTAAAATAGCTTTTTCAAGAGAGAGAGAGCCAAGAGGGCAGCAAAAATTGGGGAAAAAAATAGAACATCACAGTTCTTTTGGGATATTTAAAGTCACCTTAAAGGTGCGGAGCAATTGTAACGTGGGTGCATAACACAGAGTCATAAAGATTATTGCAACAAAGGTCATTTCTTTATTTTATATATGACCCCTTTATAAATCCTGTTGATTACAGTCTACCAAAATAAGCAAAGATATTACACTTAAAGTTTTAGTTAGTGTTTAGCACAACACTGATTTAGCCGTGTTGTTACCAAACAAAGAACCTCTGTGACCCGGCTTACTACGCTTTTAACACCCATTTTATCAGAAAACCTTAAGACCTTGAGGATCATAAGCTGTGTTTACCCATAACCATATAAGTGAGAGTCAAAACAGCATGTGTGTGTGTGATGTCTGTGATGAATATAAAGTAGAAGATTCTCCAAAGCAGAATTATACTTTTTAAAACTGAGTTAGAGTAAGCTACGGGGAAAATAAAAGTAAGGATGCAACGTTACATTTGCCCAGCTCGCAGTGTCATCTGATATCGGTTGTGAAGAGCAAAATGATAATTTTTGTAGCACTTGCTTGAATCTGAGCAAGAAGTAAAGGCTGTACACGTCATAATTCACCTTGCTGCTTCTGTGAGCAGTCACATCACCAATGAACGGTAGTGGCCTAGCTCCACTGGCATCCATATAAACTTAAACAAACAAAGCAATTATACAGAGCACAACATGTAGTGAAATGCTTGTGTCCGAGCTGCAGACAGGCTGTAGACGTAGCCACGCCACTTACATTGATCAGAAAGTTTGTTAACTTGTTGCCTTAGGTCCCAAGACTCGTATGCTCTAAAGATTTCCACTGAATTTAGAGAAAGAGCATTAAACTTTGCAGCTCCTTACTCCTAGAATCAGATGCAGGCCTTTTGGTCTTGCTGAGGTTCCTGGTGCACTGATTCTTTTAAAGAATGTAGCAGATTGTTGATTAGACTCCACCTAAAGTTTTTTTTTTTTTTAAATCTCTGATATGTTTTATTTTGTTTTTTTCCACCTAATGATGACCTCCTCCACTTGCACTGATGTCTCTTTGGACCTCATATTTAAAATTACAATAAAAAGCAATAAAATGTAAATTAAACACTTTGTCATGAAATAACAAGTGAATAGCCTTTATCTGGCCATAAAACTTCTGAATATGTATGAAAATGGCTGTACTTCCAAAACAGCCATTGACTCTTTTTTTTTTTTTTTTTTAAACAAGCCAAAAACCCTTGACTTAAACCTGAAGCCCTTTGAATTAAAGCTACACTGAACTAACAATATATTGTGAAAAGATGATTATCTGGAAGACATTACAATTTTGCTTGTGTTTGTGTCCAGTGACTGCAGCGCTGGCATCCTTGCCTCTTCAGACCTTCCCCCTCTCCCTGTCCCGTGTCCCACCTGTGGATTGAAGTTCATCCTTCTAGCCTGCCGCCCTTGCCACATACTGTGAGGACACCATGGTGGATGTAACCAAGTGGCCCATTTTCAGCCTGATGGGGCCTCAGGAGCTCGCTTCCATACGGAAAGCATGCGTGTTTGGATCATCTGCTAATGAGGCCATCTACATTACCAATGATGATGAGGTGAGGGGTCAGAGGGAAAACGGGGTTGTGGTTGTGTGTTAATCAAGAGCAAGATGACTGAAAGCTTTGAAACTTGCTTCATGTTGCATAATTGATAGTCAGATGACCTGTTGATTTTCCACGTTTTTAGCCTTTAAGCTACATTTCATGTTTACATTATTATAATTTCATTCAGCCTAGTGTGGATTGTTTGAGTGTCCTACCTTGAAAACAGCTGTTGGGTTCAGTTTACACCGCATTCAACTTTAATCAGTGGTAGAAGAAAACATGCTTACAGTAGGTAATCCACCACAGAGCATGCTTACACTGCATTGCATTTTTTTATGTCAGTGTTATTGTAGCATGATAAACAGAGACTGCCTCTCAGTAGCTGTGTGTTTTAAGCTGTAGTACTCAATATTTCTGACAATAGCTCCAGGGAAAGAACCAGATTTTTCATCTGGAGACCATAAAGAGAACCAAAAGTTAAAGAATAAATAACAATAATAACAATTTTAAATGTTGTATTGTAACAGCCTGATGTGTAACGATTGCAGTTGAATGCTAGTGTTGAAAATCAGTTATTTGCCATTTTAAAAAAGCTCAAAACTGTTAAGACTTGCTGAAAAGTATTTATTCACATGATGTAACACAGAACAGCAACAGGTGCCTCAAGGCGCTTCACCTTATATTGTAAGGTAATAAAGACCCTACAATAACTCAGAGAAAACAGAGAAACCCCCAACAATCAGATGACCCCTTTTAGCAAAGGCTTTGTTAAAAAAAAAAAGTTTCGGAAAGAAAAGAAGGCAGGCTTTACAGGGATATTCAGTGTATCACGGTTCACAAAGCATTCCCAAGTTCTGCTGTCTGAACACTGAAAAGATGCTCCTGAAAGATGAGAATTATCTTGTAATTTTACAGCCAAAATTACAAAATAAGCTTAAAGGGTTCAAGACAGTTGTTTAAAAGGATGGATCTCTGGTCCTTTCATCCTTTTTTAATTAGTACTAAAACTTGCAGTAGCTAGCTAGATGATTTGAATTACTTTGATGTTGTTGGTGTTTTAGCTCAGTGC